TAAAAATAGAATTAGACATGAAACCTCAGCTCCATATTCCCCACATCAGAACGGGACAGCAGAACGCAGCTGGAGAACACTTTTTGATATGGGAAGATGTATGATTATTGAGAGTTCAATTCCAAAGGAGCTATGGACGTATGCGATCAGAACTGCAGCTATTGTGAGAAATAGATGTTTTAACAACAGGACAGGACAGACGCCTTATTTCTTGCTGACCGGGCAAAAGCCCAATTTATCCAGAATGAGAAAGTTTGGAAGTGAATGTGATGCTTATAAGCAAGACAAAGGGAAGCTGGATTCGAGGTGTACACAAGGGATTTTTATAGGATATGATAAAAACAGTCCAGCATATTGTATTTACTTTCCAGATAGAGCTAAAGTGCAAAAGTTTAGATTGGTTAAATTTGTGACCAAAAGTAATGAAGGGAGATCAACACAGACAGACATAACATATGATGATGATGATGATGATGATGACACACAGGTGAGGAGGAGAGCAAAGATGGACAGAAAGGGTTCAGAAGTAAATGTGCTAGAATCAGAAACTGACAGACAACCGGAAGAGAACAGTCAGACGCCACCTAGTGAAGAATCTGAAAACTCCAAGAGATATCCTCCTAGAACAAGAAAGAAACCAGAATATTTAAACGATTATGTGTCAGGAGATGATATAGATGATCAAGCATTAACCAACATAGACTACTGTTACAGACTGATGTGTAACTTACCTGAAACGTTCAGGGAAGCGATAAAGTCACCTAACTCCAAAGAGTGGAAGGAAGCAATGGATGAAGAAATGCAGTCTTTAAAAGAGAACAACACTTTTACCCTAACAAGCTTACCTGAGGGAAAGAAAGCAGTGGGGGGTAGATGGGTGTATGTAAAGAAAAACAATGGTGATGGCTCAGAAAAATATAAAGCACGGTATGTAGCTAAAGGTTATAGCCAACACTACGGAGTAGACTATGAGGAAACTTTTTCTCCAACTGCTAACCTGGCCAGTGTAAGAATGTTAATGCAGTGTGCAATACAGGAGAACCTGATCTTACATCAGATGGACGTAAAAACTGCATACCTGCATGCACCAATAGATTTAGAAGTTTACATTGAACACCCAGAAGGATATGAGGTAAAAGGCAAACCCAAAGAAAAACTAGTTTATAAGCTGGAAAAGTCACTTTATGGGCTTAAACAATCAGGAAGGAACTGGAACAGGACATTACATGAATATTTAACTGAGAATAGTTTTATTCAAAGTCCTGCAGATCATTGTGTTTACACAAGAAAAACAAGAAAAGACAAAGTGATCCTAATTATTTGGGTTGATGACATTATTATTGCAGCCAGTGATGAAAATGTTTTGAAAACTGTGAAAGAAATGTTAACGATAAGATTCAAAATGAAAGATATGGGTAAACTCAAATATTTTCTTGGTATTGATTTTGAACAAACTGTGGATTGTGTGAAAATGTCACAAGAAAGATATGTAGACAAGATACTAGAAAGATTTCAAATGCAAAACTGTAAACCAAGGTCGACTCCTTGTGAACAAAAGTTGAGCTACAGTGATGATGCTGAGAAAATGGATGATGTCAGAATGTAAGAGAGGCAGTAGGTAGCCTTATTTACCTGACCTCTTGCACGAGGCCAGATTTGAGTTTTATTGTAAGTAAGTTATCGCAGCACTTCAAAGAGCCAACTATAGAACACTGGACTACTGCGAAACATGTCTTGAGATATTTGAAAGGAACAAAAGACAAAACGTTGTGCTGTAGAAAAAGTGACAAAGATCTGAGAGTACAAGCTCACAGTGATTCGGACTGGGCAGCAGACGGAACAGACAGGAAGAGTTTTACAGGATACTGCACAAGTTTGAATGAAAAAGGAACTTTAATATCATGGAAGACTAAGAAGCAACAAACTGTTGCATTGTCAACTTGTGAAGCAGAGTATATGGCTTTGGCAGTAACAACACAAGAATGTTTGTATTTAACACAGATTTTGCAAAGCGTGTATGAACATCAGAAGGAACCACCTGAGATTTATGAGGACAATCAGGGAACTATAGCATTGGCAAAGAATCCTGTAAACCGACAAAGATGTAAACATGTTGACATCAAATATCATTTTGTACGATCAACAGTCAATGCTGGGAAATTAATACTGGAATATTGTTCTACAGATTTGATGGTAGCAGATGTCATGACAAAGCCAGCAACTAAAGCAAAGTTGTTAAAATTTGTAGACTATATGTTTGGAATGTAACCGTATTTGAGTTTATTTAAAGCTGACAAAGTGAGCGCAAGTGGGGGGTGTTAAGATATGTATGCTCTCATTTGTACTTTTATTTTGTATTTTATTTTGAAAGATCACTTCCTGTGCTTCCTGTATGGAGCGTATATAATCTCGCGAGTTTTAATAAAATGGTCTCTCTTCTTCTCTTGACGAAACCTGAGCTGACGTCGTGTGCATTTATTCCTCCATCAATTATACCGGTATTTTTCATGTTAGCACGCATATTTTCCTGGAAACTACATCTCTGCTAACACTCTGGATGGGACAGACGCTTCAGTTCTATATTCCTGCTCCTTCCCGACTCGGCTCCCTCCTGGTAATCTATTACTACACATAGTGTAATCTATTACTACACATAGTGTAATCTATTACTACACATAGTGTAATCTATTACTACACATAGTGTAATCTATTACTACACATAGTGTAATCTATTACTACACATAGTTCGGGGGGTGTCCCGGTGGTTCCATGGTGTAATGGTTAGCACTCTGGACTCTGAATCCAGCGATCCGAGTTCAAATCTCGGTGGAACCTATTCTTTATGTCGCCGTTTTCTTATGATTTACTTCTTAAAATTTTTGCAATGGAACTATGTGAACTCTTGTGAGACACTTATCGATGTCTGATTAATATAAATATTCATCAATTTGACGCAATCTGCGAGCCAAGTACAACAGTGCGCACGCATAAACACCAGCCGTTGATAAAGAAATATTTAACTTTAAAAAAACATTCTAATAGATTCTTACCCCCCAAAGAGTTCATAGTCAGTGTGATGGTTACAAATATAGATAAATAATAAATAAAAGGTTCGCTTTCAAAGAACCGAAAGTTCGGCTGAGTGAGACTGAGCATGCGCAGTAACGATCCAACATGGCGGCCTGCATGGTGGGTCGTGCTCGTCAGACCAGCGCTTATTTCATTAGTTTGAGTGCAGAAATGAAAGCAGTCTCTCATCATGGGAGTGTCGTAATGATGAGACAGAATAACAAAGCCTTCTCCTCAAGGATGTATTATGGCACTCGAGGGACAGACGACACAGAGGTTCGTAAAATAACACCAAGTTACATATAAACCTAACAACTGACACCTGTGCTTACTTGTTTTTGACGAGATTACACAAGAAAAGCAACACGGTCTGTTCTGATTTTCACAGGACGTTCAAATACACATTCCAGTAGGTAAGCATACGCTCGCATATATTAAAGTAGACTGATAAAAGTACATCTGTTCTCATTTGTGCATGCCATGTTGTTCATGCGGCAGAGCGTCTGACAGTGGCCTACAGCAGAAGCAGTGGTCCTGGGGGTCAGCATGTCAACAAAGGTTACGCAATCTAAATCTTTCTCTGATCCCATATTAATCCCTACAATCAAATCATTGTATGGAATTCATTGTACTGAGTTTTAAAGTAAACTTAGCTGAAAGTAAACACTACCTGCTTGATACATTAGTATTTCAATCGTAATAAGACTTTTAATTTTAATCCACAGTCAACACAAAAGCTGAGGTCCGATTCCACCTGCACACAGCACACTGGATTCCAGAAGATGTTCGACAAAACATTCTTGAAAAGGTTTGATTGTTTGACTTGTTGACACCCACTCCAGCTTTTACTTACACGTGTACATAGTAAGGCTTGAACGACTACATAATTTTAAAACTCGACATTAACATATTAAAACTCAAGTATTTGATGACATCATAGGATCTAAAGATACAAAAATAAATAAATAAGTAAAACCGCAAAAAAAGGTCATTATTTACAAAAAAAACCCAACAAAACATTGGGAGAGTATATTTTGCTCCTACCATTGATCATACTGCAAATAAGTCACAGGAAAAACTAAACTATTAGTTTTTATTATTAAGCTGCAAAATTGAAAGAAACATGCGGCACGTGAAAAACGAAACTAAAACCAGTGGGGGGGTCGACCACCCCGCCCCACCTCCAGCTGTGGTGCGCATTAGGTTTAGTTTTAGAGATTAATATGTTTATAGGTTTTTTTATAGGTTTAGAGATTAATATTTTTTGCTTTTAGTTTGTGAAACAAGGTCAGAGGAAGCTGGTTCTGGTTCGGTCATTGGACCTGGTGTTACACCATATTCTGTGACCTGCAACAGTGCATGCAGCACCGCCCCCTACGGTCACAATATACGGTGGTCACAGAATATGGTGCAACACCGGTTCACAAAGAGCTCCTGTCAGGAAATTGATTCATGTCCTGTTTCCTCACGGTAGTTGAACCAGAAGATTCATCTTTAGTGAAATATTTCCAGACTATTGATGCATTTCTACCTGTTTGTCAAGACTGGGCCTGCTCTGCTCCATCTGCTGGAGGAATCCATTTTGTAACCTGCGCCTGGTGCGGATCACGTGACGCGATGACGTAACGGCGAATACTCGACGTGAAATTAAAAACCTCGATAGGTGTCCTAGGAATCAATGTGTAGATTACTTGTGTAGTCTGTTAAAGCCCTAGTACATAGGCCTATATATTCTTTTTTCTTTTTTGGTTTACATTTTTCTTTAATTTTCATATATGTTTACTTAACAGAACAAAAACCGCATCAATAAGGCCGGCGAGCTGCTGGTGACCTCAGAGAGGAGCAGGAGTCAGCAGAGAAACCTCGCTGATTGCATACAGAAGATCACTGCCATTATAAGGGAGTCCAGAAAGAAGCCCTGCCCAGCAACAGCCCAAGACATAGCTCTAAGAGCAGCCAGGTATTTTCCAGTTCAGTAGAACTACAAACTTGTTTTGGTACCCATCTTGATTATAAATGCGGTATATGTAAGTTTGTTGTAAAATTTGTCTTGCAGGTTAGAGAAGAGGAACAAAGAGCGTCTCAAACAGAAGAAAATCCATTCAGCTATCAAATATGACAGACGAGTGAATTTTGACTGATTGTTGTGTTCATAAACTATTGTTTTTTTTAATTAACTGTTGTCTAGACATCTTCAAAACCTTTTACATTTTTTTTTTCTGGAGACAAGATGGCGGTGGACATGTGAACTGCATTTTGGGTGACCTCCTGTCGGCCCCACTGAAAAACTACTTTTTATTAAAGTCAAAGTTTTTGTCGTTTGCATCACATGTGGTACATGTGGTGGAACAAAATTGTGTACACAGGGTCCCAGTTACATCCAACAATAGTATAAATTGTAAAGAAAGACAGTAATAAGATCTGATATGAACAAAGAAGTACTCTACACTAAGAACACACAGCACTAATAGTAACAATCGGTCTTTTGCACGTGACGTCACGCCTATGCTGGGCGCCATATTGGGGGGATTACCGTCGTGAGCAGTACTGATAGCAGCGTAGCTTTTCCGAGTTAGCTTCAGTTCTTTTTCCACCTTAAGCCGAGTGTGCTTTTAAATAAAAAAATGGCTCGTTGGTGTTGCATAAAAGGCTGTTCGAGTAAAACAGGACACTTTGGCATAAAGTTTTTCAGGTTTCCCGTCTATAGAAAAGACCGTGGACAGCAAATGGAAGATCTAAGCAGGAGACGCAGGTTGGCCTGGGTTGCAGCTGTCAGGCGCAAGGAGATCACATTCAGTCAGATATCAGCGAACATGCGTGTTTGTTCACTGCATTTTCATAAAGGTAAGCTGATTTTTTATTTAATGCTTTGTTTCTCTATTATTCTGTGATGCTACAGTTATCTATAAGTACTTTATTTATATCCTATTTATATACAAGACGTACTTAAATAAACGAATAATGAACTAGGTCTGAAAACAGAGCTAAGTCAGATTTAGACTAAAAATACTGTCTAAGTCTGAACTAAACCAGGGCTAAAATAGCAATAAGCCAGAACAACTAGCAGGATTTAAGATCTGTCTTGACATATCACAGCTGTCATCTGTCATTCATCTGTCATCTCTATGTGATTGCAGGTCAGTCAGCTTATGAGATGATGGAAAGTGATGCGGACTGGGCTCCATCTCTACGTCTGGGTCACACTGACGTTAAACCGACTGACGCAGCACGCTATGCAAGACGACGTAAACGAGACCAGCAACGTAACAGCACATCACAGGAAGCTGAGTTAGTGGCGCAGCAGGATGAAGACGTTTGTGGCCATCATGTCCTGGAGGAGGCTGATCTGTTTGCTGAGGTGCAGCTGGAATGCGTTTCAGATCCGACTGATGAATCTGAACAGATTGCTGAACAGGGGACTGTCATCCCTGAATGTGAAGCATGTGCCCTTAAGTCGGCAGAAATAAATAGACTCAGAGAAGAAAATGGAGAACTGAGGCAGCAGGTGAACAGAGTTAAGTTCAGTGATGGCTTTTTTTCCGAAGATGACAATGATAAAGTAAGACATTATACAGGACTGCCTAATCTTCAAACCTTCATGCAAATACTGTCACTGCTGGTTTCTGTCACAAACCCCAAAAAGACACTTCTCACACCATATCAAATGCTGCTTCTGACATGTATGCGGCTAAGACTCGATGTACCTGTTTATCTCCTTGCTGATCTGTTTTTTGTTTCACCTAGTACTGTCTACAGGGCTTTCAGCGATACTGTGTCACAATTATATACAATCCTGCAACCTTCTATTGTGTGGCCAGACAGAGACACATTGCGTAAAGTTATGCCACACGAGTTTGTGCATTCATTTGGAAATAAGGTTGCTGTGATTATTGATTGCTTTGAAATTTTTACAGAGAGACCATCTAATGTCAAAGCCCGGGCCCAGATGTTTTCAAGTTATAAGCACAACCACACCATGAAGTACCTGATGGGAATTACACCCAGAGGAGCCATCTGTTTTTTGTCCAAAGGATGGGGGGGGCGTACAAGTGACAAGCATATCACACTTGATAGTGGATTTCTTGATAAATTGTTGCCAGGGGACATTGTTTTGGCTGACAGAGGTTTTGATATTCAAGAACATGTTGGGATGTTGTGTGCTGAGGTGAAACTCCCTGCTTTTACAAAAGGCATGTGTCAGCTAGATGCAAAAAACGTGGAGGAAACTAGAAAAATAGCACATCTGAGAATCCATGTTGAAAGGGTGATTGGAAATGTATGTCAAAAGTATAAGATCTTGTCAGGTACAATGCCAATCTCTCTGATACTGCCATGTGAGTGTGAGGATGTAACGCTTTTAGATAAAGTGGTTACAGTGTGTTGTGCATTTACAAATCTTTGCCCAACTGTAATTAAATAATGTGACAGTTACTGTAAATGATTTATGACACAATGAAATGAAATAAACATACAAAATGTTCAACTGTTGTCATAAGATTTACATCCACATATTGAATTTTGGTGGTTCTTAATTGTTACGTGTCGTGATGCAGAACAAAGGTTAAAAAAATGTAACATATCAAATATATCTTGCATAAAAATAAAATTACAAAAGCTTCTCATTTGTTCAAGCCATCTTTATTAAGCAAAGTATGTGCCTCACATCTTACTGGTGCATGAAGAACAAAACCATGTCTCTTCCTGTGCAGGTGCAAGCTGCAGACCCACACAACTGAAATGGAACCAAACTGTTTTACAGTTTTCGTTGTCACAGGCGACCATGTCATCTTTGTCTCAGGACACCGGCAAATGCACCACAGCTTTTTAACACATTTTCGCTTGCACTTCTTTGGTAATTGGCCAGTTTCCTGAGTTCTGTTGTCGTTACAGGCAGGAACAGGAATGTTAGCAAGTGTCGGCCTGTTAACTACCTTAGTGAAATGACAGCTTACAATTTCAGGGAGACTCACACATTCAACAAATTTTTTTGCCTTCTCGAGGACAGCTGCCCAAAGCTCAGGGTCCGGAGAAATATGCACAACAGCAAAGTCTTTTGTTGTCCAGACCACAAAATCACAATATTCAGCCTCTGTGACAAAAATCTGAGTTTGCACCTGTTTGTAGTAGGGGTGTTTTGGCTTCAGTCGCATCTCTCCTTCATATAACTCCAAACAGAAGTCAGAGTTTGTGCAAGCTTCAGTCACATGTTGGTCCCGGTATTTATATGAGCACTTTATCTCAATACAGCCTTTGCCACAACAGACACATTGCACAAGCCCATCAGGTGAGGCCCCAACCTCTGGAAATTTTGGGTTTATAAAAAAACCACACTGCGTAACCTTGCACCCTGAGTGATCTCTGTTACACTGCAATCTGTACATTTCACGGGCAGTGTCCTCGTTTTTTTCGCCCCATGCAATAGCACTACACATGCTTGTTGTGTTGTTAGGGTAGCACACTGCTTTTATTACTGACTGTGAAGGTTTGTCCAAGTTTGTCACATAAACTGAATGCATGTTGGATGCTGTAACCCTCCCAGCCCGATGGTGTTGCCAGGTTAAAGATCGGTTTTGCTGTCTTGTTGTCCTTTCAATGTACTCAGCCTGCTCGTTGGAAACTGAGACACTACCAGCAAGTGATTTGCAGTGCGTGCGCAAATCTGATATGTCCTTGCCATCCATTGTAGCATCCCGCAGAGAGTGAAGGGAACGTGGCACAGTGAATGGTTGCACATGGTCAACAAATTCTCCACAATATTCAGGCAAACAGGACAGCACAGCAGCTTGTGGTGTTGCCTCGTGAATTGCACTGAAAAAGGAGTCCAGCTGCTCTTTTGACACAGTCCCAGCTGCCCTTGTCCGTGTAGTCCTGATACCTGTTGATGCTACAGATCCTTCTTCCACAATTTGGTTCAGAGCTTTGCGCTTTGCTTTTGGACTTGTAAAGTCAATTTTATATCCTGGTTCTGGTTCCACTTTAGACAGATTGCCTGGAATCATCCAGTATGCAGGTCTGCCTGTCACTGTCACTGTCTCTCTGCATCTGACAACTACCTCCAACTTAAACAGCATAGCAGCGACATGTGTGCATGACTCTCCTAAGCCCGCTATACAGGTGCAATGAGCACACAATATAGCCCCAGAAGAATTTAGGATTGCCCAAGGCTTGAGTGGTGCTTCTCGCAAGCGTTGGGAGTGCATCACCTAAAAAAACACACAAAATAGAGTAAAAATTACTTGTAATACAGACTTCAGAGTAAAATGTTCTAACATCATATACAATATATTAAGATTAATGTGTTGCTTTGAGATGTAAATTCATGTTCTGACTGAGATACACAACCTCCACTTATTCTAACCTCACATATTTGTGAAAATGTATGTGTATTTGCTTGGATTTATAGTTAAAGTATGGATTACAGGTAATATACGTATATGTTTATGCAGACACACAAAACTCACATAAATTAATATGTGTGTATATACACACATACCCAACTTGTGTCTTTAAACTAGCAGTGAAGTGACAACATGTGTATAACTTTGACTAAGATGACTAAGATGTTATGTTTAGGGTGTTTTACCTTTGCTGTGACCACAGTGTTGGTGCATCCTTCAGGTTTAAATGAATATAAATCTTGCACCCAACCATTGGTGAACAGCCCATGAGCCTCCAAGGACTTATAGTTCAGAAATTCGTCAAATGTGTAGGCACTGACACCATTTACAAGATAGCAAATAATGTCCATATTTGTTGTTGGTGGAAGTAGCCCTGGTTCGGACGTCCATGCCTTAGCTGCTACCTCGTATGGATCAACGTTGTTAATTGACGTTAACTTCGCCATATAACGGTCTCTGGCTTCAGCGTTGAGTTTATCTCTATACGGCTTCTTCTCATTTTTATATTTACTTTCCATTTTGCAGATGTCATCGTTCTTATCACTGTTTACCACGGACTTTGTTTACCTGAACCGGTATCTGCGTAACCCCCCAATATGGCGACCGGAAGTGCATAAGTCACGTGTCTGCAAAAGACCGATATGCCGAACAACAGCAGCACGAACATCAGTCTTTGTGAGCAGATGAGGACAAATGAACACAGCAGCATGAAATAAATCAGCAGCATAAGATCAGCAGCATGTGTAGTAGCACATATCAGTCAAGTGGCATTACAGTGATTTTTTTTTTTCACAGTGATAATCCTGATTAGGGATTTATGAGTCTTAACAGCCTCAGGGTAGAAGCTGTTCCTCAGTCTAGTAGTTCTACACTTAATGCTCCTCAACCTCCTTCCTGGGGAATGGGGCAAAAAGTGTATGCTGCATGACTGTGGTCCTTCATGATGCAGGTGGCCCTCTTCCTGTATCTGGAGGTGTAGATGTCTGTGATGGTGGGGAGGCTGACTCCAACATCTTCTGTGCAGCCTTCACCTTTTTCATTCAACCTTTATTTAGACAGCTTAATCCCATTGAG